GCTAGACAAGCTATGAGCGTTGTTAAATAACTATAGGGTGTGTAAAACATACCGAAAGGTTCTCTTTGAGAGATTCCTGCCCCTTTGCAACTGCTTGTTTAGAGTTTAGGCTCCTGCTGAATCAGTAGCCTTACCACCAGCGTTTAAATCAGAGTCCCCGGAAGTTGGTGTCATTCTTGACCCGCCCAATTCCTGCTCGTGAGCAATCTTCGCTTCTAGCTTTTGGTGCTCTTCAATTCTGGCCAGTGTTCCCAACCGTCCCGGGCGTCCCGGGCAGGGTGGGTAAGGACGGCAGGGCATGGCGTCCGGCTTTCATAAAGACGGTCGTCCTAGCGGTTGACGCCCGGGCCCTGCAGTCTTAGTGCAAATGGCATCTTCCGGTCGGGCCCTGCCCTGCCCGGCCGTCATCCACAAGGCCCGGCCGTCACGCGCAGGCTTCAGGCGTCATCTGTAGGGCCCTAACGTCATTTACGGGGATGCGGCTCTTCACCTAGAAGCGGCTCGCAGTGGCAACCAAGGGAAAACCAAATGTATATTTGATTATCTACATAAATAATAGTGATACAACTTTCGAAATTTATTAGAAAGTACTTTGAAATATGGAGAATTAGAGTATGTAGCTTCTACTTTGTTGTAAGAAAAACCTCTCTTAGTATAATGCTATTAAGATTGGTTGTTTCAAACAAGATACCTCTAATCATATATTGTGTAAAAATGGAAATATATATAAGAGTACTTTCATAAGCCCGTAGATAGGTTTTATAGGTCTTGTATATTCTGTGTGAATTGTTTTTACTTTAATCTAAACAGATTTTTAAAAGTTGTAGTAACAAATTGACAGTAGGAAAACTATATACAAAATTGATCAATTTGACTACATGATATCTACTTATTGGCTTAACCTATAAATTCAATAATTTGTCAGTTATTTTACAAAGATTATCTGAGTAGGTACACTAAGTTTGAAGTTGAATGAAGAAGTCTTCCATCTTCCATACACAACTGACAGAACTTTATATAAAAATTGACTGCTATAGTATTTCAAGCTTGAAATCTCTAGAACCAATATTCCAAACTGCCTAAAACTTGTTCAATAGTCTGACCTATATTAGGAGACCAGGAGATAATACTTTTAGCTTTGTCTAAGGAGTATACTGTACAAGGTTGAAGCTTAAGACTAATACTTTTACACATATATCTTTATAGTGATCAAGGAATAAAATAAGGAAGGTTTACCCATTGAGCCCAAAATTTCATGAAGTTACTTATATCAATATTATAAAGGATACTGCAAAGTATTGGAATTGTAAGTTAATCCAGTGTGTAGATATCATATTATCAAATAAATCAACTATATATATTGTTTTACTTTGTCATATAGTACTATAACTTCTAAGAATAACTATAAACAAATACAAAAGTAGCTAATCCATAAAATGCAAGGTCTATAATAACTCTCTATTTACTTAAAAAAGTATTCTCTACATGTCTTTCAATTTCTTTACCATTAAGTATGACAGGACTGTTATTTTAAACTACCAATTGGAAAGATAATATACTGGGAGAAACATTTCCTATTATGAAATAATAACTACATTTACTAATTCTCCATGTTTCAAAGTACCTTCGAACAAGTTTCCAAAGTTGTATCACTATTATATATGTAGATAATCAAATATACGTTTGGTTTTCCCTTGGTTGCCACTCCGAGCCGCTTCTAGGTGAAGAGTCGCATCCCTATAAATGACGTTATAGGTATTTCATAAACTACAAAATAATGGATGTTCATCCCACAGTGTAATTGGTTATTTCCGAGTAGGGATGTATTTACTAAGTAATTTAATACAATATTTTCATACAGTCTAGAATAGGTGAATAAATCGGCTTAGATTTCAAGAAAACATGAAAGTGATCCCACGCACGATAAACATCCTATTCCAAACACTCAATTTTCTAGTATTAGAATATAAATGTTTGGTTTCTTTATGACTACAGACTTACTATATTCAAAATAGATCATGCAAGTGAGACACCTATAGGGCCCCGCCGTCCGTCCAGGGTAGAGGTTAGGACAGACTACAGGACAGGTGTCTGGCCAGGGAAGAGTCCTAGAAACTGGCGTCCGTCCCATCCTAAGCAAAAGATGGACAGACTGGATGCTTGGGAACACTGAAATTTCTGGCTACCAAAGCTGCATGAACTTGAAATTTCTTATGGGTGTAGACCAAACAACCACCATTCTCCAAAACTATCGGGTTTGTAAACTATGAAAACAGATAAAAAGGAATGAGAAGACATCTTACAGTAGCAACTTGAGCAAGCCTCGTAATTAGACCTGGACTGAGATTGGGTCCTGTTGGGGCAGGCCGAGTGGCCCTAGTGGCAAGCCCAGGTAGCCTGAAAAAGCCCGAAATAATTGTCCCTTATGTTTATCAAGTCACACAATATCACTCATATCTTCTGATTTAAACAAAAATGCTGTGAACCCCAGGATTTGCATTGTCCCCAGGCTAGTATTTTGTTAAGAAATTTTCAGCCTCACATTTTTAATTACCCTTTTTTATCATGCAGCCTGACTTTGATTCTTCTTGGGTCATCTCTGTCTGGGACCATCCTTCTCCAAGATTTCGGAATATTGTAAGTCTCCACCCACAACGGTCATTGCTTCTTCAATTATGCCAGACCTTGAAGATGAGATTAGTGAACTCTCCTCTCTTTCTTCCTATCCTAGTTCTCCTGGAACTTCTTCTCAAATTCTACTTGATGACTGAAGTGACATTTCTCATTTCAACCTGGAAGATGAGAATAATGATGTGGACTGTATTATCTCATCATAGAATGCTTCTCTAGTTCCTACTCTGATCACATGGCAAAAATCAAAACAGTTAACACTGCACTCATGAGTATGGGGCAAACCAGAAGAGCCTCTTGGCCTCTTGGTAGAAATTAGTGGTATTAAGTATGACATGAACTACCACTTCACCTACGATATCATTTCAGAAATGCTAATATTATCTAGATACTGGCAATATCAGCTGTGGACTCAGCATTATGCTCATTCTTGTGGTATGAGAAATCTGAGTCAGTACTTAACCTCCATTCATGGGATACAGGAGGACATAACATCACACAATAAGCCTCTCAAACAATCTCAGAAAACAATTGAATTTATGATAAAATCAGTGTCAGAAATTGCCTATCAGTAGCAAATCTACCAAGCCAACGATTAGTGATTTACAACATTCCCTTAGTTCAGATACTATTCAAGTGCTTCAATGTCTCCGAAGCTGGCAATCAGCAACTGGAGTTGGGGAGATCTGTGGAAGTATTTTGTCAACTTATCTCTGAGAACAATTCTTCCTATTTATGCTGTTTTCTGGATATTTCTTGTTTTCCTTTTTCCAGGTCTCTAGCTCTCATACAACTCTCATCACCTGTTTTTCCTAAAATCAGTGCAGCTTCAATGTCTCTAAAGTTAAAATAATTGACTTCTTTAAATAGAATTGGATTAATCCTTCCTCTTGAATAGTTTGGGCTTTCTGGGTGGCCCGGGCTTTGTTTGGGTTGGGTCGGGTTTGGGTCGGGCCAGTCATCATTTGGTCCGGGTTTGGGCCGGACTTAAGAATTTACGGCCCGGGCCGGCCCATTTCGAGGCTTGAACTTGAGTGGCAAACCACAGGATACCCTCAATACGGACATTCTCCATAGATGGCACCTCTGCTGAATGCTCTTCTTCATCCACCTGCACGTCTTCAAACCAATGGCTAGTTAGGAAAGTATTTCTGTGCGCGTTCAAGACCTCGTAAAGTGTATTCCGCTGGAAGTGGTCTCCCACGGCCTTTTTCCGGAACCGCAAAGTCCTTGCATCCAAACCTATCCTGGTCGGATTTCTCAACGAGACTGTTCAGCATAGAAACCAAATGCTCCCACTGAAACTCATTTTCCAATAACCTGATTGCTGGCTCTAATTCGACTGCATGAGCTAGAAATACGAGTCATATGTAGATAAGAGGTAACACGTTTGAATCGCTGATTCCCTGGAGGGCAACACTGAGAATATTGGATGCCAGTCACTGAAGCTCAAATTTTCCTTGCGTGGATAACAGCTGGCTTCTTCCAATTTGGGAACTGGTTGGAGAATAATTGTCACATGGCCAGAGCTGGCCCCAGTAGGGAGAGGTGGAAGAAGACGTTGATATTCTGCCCTGTTTTTGCCAGACGCTGCTGAAGGTTCATGCTCCATATCCTTCACTGGAATTTGTCGGTTTTTCCATTCACCAGGGACTAAATGCAAAAGACATTCTTTGGCGTCGTATTGGGTTAGACCAGTTATATTGCAAATTGTGATATAAGCGCCCGATAGCTTTTAGGTATGAAAAAAATATGTAAAGCGCTTTAAACTAAGGTATTAGATTGAAACTTACTTTCCAAGCAGACTCAGCTTTTCCAATATTTTAGTCCAACCTATCCAGGTAGTCGAACAAATCATCATCAAACTTTTCAAGGTCGATATGGGTGAAACTGCTCCCATGGGGTTGAATGAATCCAGCTTCGATATTATGATTCTTGGAAGCGTGTTCAGGTGAAAATATTGGGTCGAAAAAAGTTAAAATAGTTTCTCTAGCTGAGTAGAAGGACTTTGTTACGATCAAGCTTTTGCAATAGTAGAATAGTTGTAGAATGCTGGGTGCTGCAAGAATAACCAAATGATGCAATAGACGGCCAACATATGGAGTTTTATCCGTAGCCTTCGAGTAATTGAAGGGATCGTGGACAGCACCGTTACCTACTCAAATGATGCCTAGTTTCACGTTTTATTCTGCGAAGTCCTTTTCACCTAAGACGGCCATTTAGCGGCATTTCGCCGGAAATGTAAGACATTTCCATGCAGAGAAGACATCCTCCCTCCAAGAGCCATCGAAAAGAGATGCGGTAACCAAACCCCTTAGGGGCAGGTTAGGTGATTGCTGGTATGAAAACCGAGTATGAAAAAGAAAAGCTCTGATTTCGTCCGGGCTCTAACCAGGGACCACCAGTATTTTAGACTGGCGTGATAACCAACTGCTCCAACATTACTGGTGCCCCTACAGGCTCTCGATCTTCTTCGTCATCATCTCCTCCTTCTCCCTGCCTACCACCTTCTTGCACCTCATTCTCACTATCATCAGAGCTGTGATAATCTATCTCCTCTTCGGACTCGTCTAGGAGCATTAATGGTACTGTTAGACGAGGAGATGGCCTATGAGCACATTACGACAAATTGCATAGGCCTGATTTCATGATACGGATAGCAGGTCCGAAGCATGTATTTATAGCCCCCTATATCCCATAGCAATAATCAAGGAGAGCGCCCCTCTTGGCACCAAACCAAGAACCTGTCCAACAGTACGGTACTAGGAGGTGAGTCAAGCTCGTTCAGAACAGATCCTGAAAGAGAACTTGCAAATGACATTCTGCCTTATATAATTAGCATTTTCTTACACTTAGACTGCTAGGAAATATCCATACTTACTTGGGTGGTCTTGGTTTTATGTGACTTTCGTATGGCTTCAGATGGCTTGGTTCTCGATAGAGTATTGAAGGGAATGTCTACGTTCAGGAGGTTAAATTACTATATGTGGCGACTGTTAATGTCACCTTCTGATCAGGATACCACTATTCTACCTTCAGCGACAACACATGCTAGCAAGTATTTAGCCGGAGGTCCTGAATACAGATGAAGGGATAATCCACTATCTCCGCCAACCCTGTAATCTCCAAATTCTAAGTCAAAATCCCCTGAGAAGGATTAGTTTGATAGGTTAAGAGAATTGCGAATACCAGTTAATGAGATCCAACCCATTGCTTGGGGTGATCTTATACTATGTCAGGAAAACACTAATCTTTCTTAGGAGATTTGACTCTGAATCCGGAGATTACAGGGGTGACGGAGATGGTGGATTACTCGTAATCTTCTGACGTTTGCAAGCTCAGCTGCTATTCCATATGGGTAAAAAATCGGCCGGAGCATCAAGATTTTGGTGGCGTGCAATCGCAGCTGTGTTTGCAGACGTCAGAAAATTACGAGTATGGTGCCGGAAGCCTCTGAGGGTGAGTGTGTAAACCTCCGCACCCCCTCCTCAAAAAATAAATTTTTTGTTGTACCTTTCCTGATAGGGAACAGATTGCCACCAAATGCTTAACAAAAAGAGTATTGAGTAATTTTTAGTGATGTGATCACCCAACACCAAAGATGATTACTAAAAGCAAGAAAGGTGGCAACATCGTAATATATATTGTAAATCCCGTTCATGAGATATTGTTCATGAGATATTGATACTACTTTCCATTGAGCACCAAGATCGCTACATGTTAATCAAGTTCACGACATAACATTTCTCCACCATTATTTGAAAACATAGGATTCCAAATACATAGGTATAAACAATCTTAACTTTGAGTTTTATACTTTGAGTTTTATCGAGACTGGTCAAAGCAGCATAGTTGTGAATATTAAGAATCATATTAATATAGAGTACAGGGAATCAACGTACCCAATTCAAATCTGATACCTCATATTGCAAATTCAATGTCCGGAAACCAAATATCATGACAGGGACTTTGGAAAAGAAAGAAGGTCACTATGGAGTGGGAAATACTTATGACCAAAATGAGAATTGACCCTGGTGGGCAACTCTGTCAATGCCAATTGACAGGAAACCTTCCTCCACCTCCAAAAAGATTGAATGGCCGAACCGCATCCATTCTTAGCCTAAAACCACCTACCAGTATTGTGACAAATGAGATAAAAAGTCTACCCAAGTGTTATGATCCTCTTTCTCTCTTTTGGGTATACTTGCAGTAGGCAACTTCTCTCATCGCACTTAATTGTCTTACCTATCTTCTTCGATCATTTGCATACCTGGCCTTCGTAGTTCAAGTCCTTGACTTCTACGACTTCCTTATTGTCCTGATTGATGACCTTAGGATTCTGAACGGACTGATGGTTTAGTAGAAAATCGTTTTTGTATTGAAAAGTATTTAGATGGTTGCGTGAGGAACTAATTACTCTCACTTACAAGCCTCCTTATATAGTTATTCCTCCCTCAACCCTAACCCTTGATGACTCATCCCTATGAGTCATCCGTATGCATGACTCAAATGTGTCATCATGTGAAATCCATCAGCTGACTCCTACAAGTCTGCCTCGCTAACTATTAAAACCAATCAAAACTTATAAAACTAATCATGTGCGCAAATCACGTCACATGTGTGAAACCTGTGACTCATAATCTGAGTCACATGTGAAAACATAACATCATATGATCACTATTGCAAGTCATAGAAAATTAAACAACCAATAAAAACCTATGACTGACTCGCTAATACAAGTCATGTGAAATACTTGTCCCTTCTGACTCATAACTATGAGTCAGGTGAAATCTGCCTTATCATTCTTCCTCGCTTAGTCATACTTTGTAACATTAGCTCCCATCCTCCCTTAGCATCGGTCCCTCGATGCTAATTTCTTAACCTCCCATCCTCAACAATTTTGCCCCCATCTCCTGGGCCTCTTGTTTCCACTGCTGTCATCCTTCTTCCAATTTCTGGACTCGTCGGTACAGTGGTTCCATCATATTGCCAGTGTTTCGAAGCATTCATTTTTGGTCTTCGATAATTTTTTTGCTGGCTCTTGATTATTTCCTCCTTGTTTGATCACAGTCTCTGGAGGTCATTTATCTACCATTGTAGGGCTTCGACATCCAGGTCTGTTTTTTTCGCTCCCCTCTCTCCCCAACCATGTCCTCATGGTTTTCCTCTTTTTTCTCTGCTGCTCATCTGTCATCGACAATGGCTGCCTTTCTCCTGTTATCCTGGGGTAATACCTCGCATCTACCTTTTTCCATCAGTGTTCCCTACACCGATCATTGTAGCAGAGTTCCCATCCTACAACTTCCTTGTGGGCTCTTCTTTTCTTTGGTTCTCTCGGGAACCAGTTTCCTCCTTCCTTGTCTCGTAGGTGTACTGGACAGCTATCATTATAACAGCCTGTCCAGGACAGTACGTTGTGCTCTAATTTCTCCCTATATTCCCTCTGTTCATCTGTCATGTCTTTTCCTACTAGTCCCGAATACTCGGGACTAGTGGGGGTAGTGTCTCTGGGGACATACCCCGAGTCATCCCATGGCTCAGTATTTCGTGGGGATGCGGAGCGTGATCATTTTATCATGATGCATACCCACTCTTGGTTTATAGGGGTACTTTGAGTGGAAATGGGGGGTTGTGAGTTCAGCATTTTCTAAGTTTTCAGCTAGGTACTAGGTTTTATCGTACTCTGGTGAGTATCCCGTCCACTTGGCTCGATATTGCTGGTTGCCACGATGTTGCCTAGAGTTTATGACTTCCTCTAGTTCATATTCATTTTCGCTCTCTATTTCTATAGGCGGTGGGGGGTCTTGTTTTTGAGAGGGAAATTGATTGTCTTAGTAAGGTTTGAGGAGGGAGTTGTGGAATGTGTTGTGTATTTTCATTGATGGTGGGAGGGCCAGCTTATATGCGCTCTGGCTGACTTTTGCTGCTGTTTTGAATGGTCTGATTTTCTTGTAATCCAGTTTCTTGGAGGGTCTCGTGGTCTTGATGTTTCGTGGCAACAGCCATACCATGTCTCTGGATTTCAAGTTGGGATCTGGCTTCCTGTGTTGATCGTAAATTTCTTTTTGTCGCAATTGTGCTGTGATTATTTCCTGACATAGTGACTTGTAGAGGTGACTCATTCCTTCTTTCTGCATTATTCTTGCTTTCATCAGGTGTCCGATCATTTTGTATTCTGGATTGATCCCATAGTTCGCATAAAATAGTGACATTCCAATGGTCTCCTGATGCCCATTGTTGTAGGCAAATTCTGCTAGTGGTAGGAGTTCGCACCAATTACTTTGCTGATAATTGATGTATGCTCGCAGATACTGTTCTAGTATCCCATTGGTCCTTTCTGTTTGTCCATCTGTCTGTGGGTGGCATGCCGTACTGAGTCTTCTTTCGATTCCTAATTTGCTTTTGATTTCCTTCCATAGCTCTGAAGTGAACAGGGATCCCCTATCTGTGATGATATCTTTTGGTAATCTGTAGAGTCTGGCCACTTCTTTAAGGAAGAGGGTTGCGAACTGTCATGCATCTAGATCCTTCTTGCAGGGGATGAAATGACTCATTTTTGTGAGGTGATCGATGACCACTAATATCATGTCATAACCTTCCGACTTTGGTAGGTCCATGATAAAATCCATGGCGATCAATTTCCATGGTCGGTCCGGTGCTTCATTTGGTTGTAGTAGCCCATACGGTGCATGTCATACCACTTTTGTCCATTGGCACATGTCGCAGTTCTTTACATATCGCTTGATTGTTTCCCTCATTTTTAGCCAGTAGTATTTTCGTTGGATTAAGTCAGTTGTTTTGAACGTTCCCCTATGTCATGCTAGGGGGACGTCATCGTGTTTCTGAATAATCGTTGTTCTTATTTTTTCATCCTCCGGCACCCATATCTTTCCTTGGTACCATAGGTAGTCATCCTTCCACTGGCATAGGCCCAGGACTACCCCTTTTAGTTCTTTTTGTCTGGCAGTCAACGACCTCCTGATTTCTTGGATCCATTGGTCTTGTTGTACTGCTCATTGCATTTCTTCCTCGTCTTGATCGTGGAGCTCTGTCAATTCCATTTCTTCTAGGAAGCATTTTTCTTTTGGTAATAGGATTCTCTGCTTGTACATTATTCTTGGATCCCCTTCTCATGGTAAGTCTCCTTCTCTCCTCGTCAGGGGGTCTAGTTTGCCTCCTTCATTTCCTAGTCGATATTGTATTCTGAAGTCAAATTGACTCATGTATTCTTCCCACCGAATTAGTCACTCATTTAATTCCTTTGTGGTCATGAAGGGTACCAGGTTTTTATGGTCGGTTAGGACTTTTACTTGGTGTTGACATCCCTTCACATATTGCCTCTATTCCTTCAGTACTTGAACTATCGCCAGTAGTTCTTTGTCATGAATATCATAGTTGCATTGTGCCTTATTCATTGTTTTCAAGTGAGAGGCTACTGGGTTCCA